GGACGGGCCAGGGTGCTCAAAGCTAGGCACCGGCAAACATGTAAAACATGATCATATGAGATCGTAGACAAGTATACGGCTGACAAGCTGCCAAGTGAAGAACTGTGTCACCAACACCGTACGCTAGTTCCCATCCCCCTAAAGAAATCACTTAGCAATCACAGCTCCCGAGCTCTTAAAACTCGTGTCCAGCATCCAATGCCGCCAAAGCCCTTCCTACAGCATCCTGCTGGGGGATGAGTTTGCGGACTGATCTGCCTCGTGATATGGACCCCCCCTTAAGCTTGGGCTTGATGGGGGGTGGGGGAGGGGGAGATTGGCAACTGGATGATAGCAGACGATATCAGATAATTCAATCAACACAGGCGCCTGCCAGTCACCCTACTAGTATGGAAAGCAGTGGAACAGGAATGTGCTCTCCGGATGGAAACGTTATCGCCGTTGTTCCCACTGAAGCTCAAGGTGCTGCATCCAAGCTACTAAGGCACAGCACGACCGAACTGGCACTTATCTGTGACCAAGTGACCAAGGCAAATCACGGTAAATCTATGGCCACACTGCCTGGAGGACGGGGCAGGGAACAGTTAATTCATGGAGCGGGGCTTGCTGTTGCAAGTGCAGTAAGGATTGTAAAGTTGTTGAATGCGTGAATTCAGTGAATAAGCCTAGCGCAGTGGCTGGACAAATTGCTTTCCTCACGCTTTCCTCTCAGCGCTGCGCAAGGTGTCCTTCAAACACTATTGCACGGCGAGAGCCTGCCTCTCCGGGGCCGAGTGGTAATTTATGGATTGCAAAGCTCCTCACAACACCATGCTATCCCGGAACTTCATCAGACATGACAAGTTCACGAAGAGGATGTGGTTACATACTGCATGTCGAGACATGACTCATTCTGCAGCTCAAGTCTAGCACGTAACTCCTTCATGATGAGATTGTAGAAGACTTACCTTTGCAAGTTGCCATCTGATCGTCATGGGCATGTGATGTGCACCACTCCCGAAACTCAACAAGAAACTGAAGGCCTCCGACGTCCGGCTAGCTCCGTGGGAACGTCACCTGCCACCGTCCACACCCATGCGCTTGGAAGCTGGGTTCTTGAAAAGCAGAAGTATCGTCCTGAACGCTGTCACGATGACTTGTTCCCTCGTTCATTCATGCACGCGATGGTTCATTCATTTAGCCAAAGGGGCTTCAAAATGCAGACTCTGCGGGTGAGACTGGCTTGATGCTTGTTTTCTGACGCTTCCCACTTGAAAGTCGTGGCGGGCAGCGGTTGAAATTCGAAATGTTGGGCTGTCGGTTCTATGCAGGCAGGTGTCTCAGGGCCCTCAAAGTCTTCAAACAACGAAGCTCGAGTTTGCAGTTGTCCTGTTCCTTTTCCGCAACGCCATTCGGGGATCAGACAAGCTTCTAAAGAACACAGTCTTCATTCCTGACAACCAAAACTTAACACTATACTGTGTGCAGCGCATTGCCTAGATTTGATGCTGACACGCCTGGAGCTTTTGATCCTGAGGCCTCTCGATCTGGTGCCAAGCACCGGGACCCGTCATGTTTCTTGCATTTGCCTAGGACAAGATTGTTATAATGCGTACGGAAGTCAGGTCGTAGACCCGAACATCAACATATTCTCATGACACCCCAAAACGACACCTGATTCCCATGCATAGATGAAGTTCGTGAACGCCTGCATGCCATATGGGTGATAGCAGACAATATCAGATGTTTCAATCAATCAACGCAGGCGCCTGCCAGTCGTCTTACTAGTTACTGCATGTGTCCTGCGTGTGGTAATGTTATTGCCGCTGTTCCCACTGATATGTTATATAAAGGTGCTGCTACTCGTACATATCCAAGAAAATCTGTGGCCACCTTCCCAGCAGGGAACAGATGAAAACCAAAAAACAATTAGAGGAGCGGGGCTTGCCGTTGGATGTGCAGGAAGGATTGTAAAGTTGCTGAATGCCTGATGCAGTGAAGGAGCCTAGCACAGTGGCCGGACAAAATGCTTTCCTCACTCTTTCCTCTCAACGCTGTCTGCGCAAGGTCCAGGTGTCCTTCAAACACTCTGTGCATGGCGAGACAGGGCTCTGCCCTGGCGTGAGTAAAGCCTGCCAGGACAACCCCCTACAGGGCTCCTTTCGGGGTCAAAAGCGCCTGTTACTTTAAGGTCCCTGGCTGCCCTGGTGCTCTGCCTCTGGGTGCCCCCTTGCTGGCGACCAGCATTCCGACCGGGGCCCCTACATTTTTCTTGGGCCTGCTACCGCATCCGTCCCATGTCATGCGACTTGCAGGGACGGGGATCTCTAAAGACAGGAGCTGAACAAGGTCCTGTCAGCTACGACGAGTCTCTTGCCGGGCTAATGCTGGCTTCAGACCTTCAGTCTCAGCCTGTGCGAGTGTGACTGCAAGCCAGTGTGGGTGCCACATCACAGAGGACGCCTGGATACAAAGACCCGATGACTGGCGTGCTGTCATGACGTGTGTATTCGGGGAAACGCAGACAAGAGTTCGGGTGCATTGCCAACCACAAAAAGCTTAAGGCAACACGCATGCCCCCCAACGACTCGCTTTTCTAATTACATTCCGCACTCCCGTGTTACCCACGTTCCCATCCTCGGCTCTGCTTGCCTGCACGTGGGTCCATGCAATCATGGAAGGAGGCGCACGTCTGACGGCCCACAGACGGCCCAAGAGTGTACTACGTACACCCACCACTCAACTCTGTAGAAAGTCTACTTCTCAAGCCACGCACCCAAGCATTAACACAGCGCCTGCGACTGCACACCTGTTGGCCCGTGGCAAGTAAACCGTGTTCGGTTTGAAGACCTTCTTGAGAAACTTTAGCTTGGAACTGCTACTTTCGGAATTCGATCACTGGGGAGTTACTGAGTTTGTGCCAGCCTCATCATCCAGTCCAGCAGGGACATCCACATGTCCGTCCAGAAGGGCAATGCCAGTCTGCGACAGGCAGAGCAGAACGGCACAAGTTATTGTACTACACACGCTACGCCGAACTGTACTGATCACCATCGTACAGAAACCGTGCATGGAGCCCGAACCTTCGTCTTTGGCCTCGCTTAGCTTTGGTTGTTCGGAGCGGATCCGCCTTTGGCCAGGACTTCGTCTGTCCAAGAATGCTTTGCACTGATGTCCTACTGTTGGCGGCGAGAACTCGGCGAGCCTCCCCCAGCTCACCAATTCAACGCATGGAAGGCTCTGGGAATCGTCCGTGCAAGTATACCAAGCAGCTGCGGCAGGTGTCAATTCAATACCATCATGACCGCTCGGGTGCTAGTCACTCTCGGCATTGCATGGCATTGCTAAACGACCTCCCCGATGCATTTAAACACTCAAATCTGCAAGCAAGCATGCAGCAAGCAGAGCGTGAGCTGTTTCTGCGCAAGTACCATTAAGCTGGGTCGATCTCTTGATACGTGATAGAGTCAAGCCTGGGAACTTCGAACCTTGCGAAGTGTGCAACGATTCGTGATTTGCATATCTGCAGCGCATTATTATTATTATGATTATTATGATTATGATTATTATTATTATTATTAATGCAGCATATTACGTGTTCCAAGATGTTCCAAGGCCAATTGGAAGATCTCTATCAGGCACTTGAGCTCCGACTTTCGGGAACAGGAACTGTGCAAGCATAGCTTCTCATGGATTCTTCCAGCGGACGTTCTGGTCCTACGGAAAAGGAACAGAAGAAGGTAGTGCCAACCAGGACTGCATCAGCGCGGCCTGCTAACGGCGCTTTCCTGCTCCGTTGACGGCCTGAAGAACGCGACCAGATGCAAACCGTACAGTAGCGACGCACATGCGACAAATTGATACACATCAGGGGGACCCTCCGCGGAAACATTCCAAAACCCATCGTGGACTCTTTGCAAACCTCGCAGCGGTAGATCACGCGACGCATGGTCATGTTAGCCTCCGAAATTCTGAAGCTTACGCGGATTTACGCGGTAATTGTTTCTTGTATTCGTTGAAATTGGCAGGTCTTTGAAACAATTAGGCAAAGCAGCGAACAAGTGATGAGACACGTGAATTTGGTTGCTTGTGAAAAGAGAAGACCAAATTAGTTCAATGGCCAGCCGGTCCAAATTGACACGCCCAGCTTACGTGGAGCTTGCGCGGATTTCTGACCATAGGGTCCCGAATCTGGCCTTCCAGGGCTCTCCGATGCTTCTGCGAGGTTAGCCAATCTGCTTCCACGGACACATATATGACGCGGAACTTATGTGCATACACGGGCATTGTCTTGTACCCCACCCCCTGCGAGCCCAGGTTTCCGGAAGCTTTATCATGTTTCCACTTTTGAGATCGCCCACATAGATCCACACGAGATCCTCAAGGAGTGTGCCTCCCGCTGCTCCTGATACATACGGCGCAGCACCGCCCGTGGAGCTCGAGCACCATCTCCTGGGCGAAGACTGCTCACATCTGCTGCTTGCCCCATGCTGCCTCACTATATCTCACTATGTACTGAACATGCTACTTTCGTCGCGAGTCCTCTCACTCCATTGCTTCGCTCCTGGATACTCGTGACTTAGTGTGGTCTTGCGGGTCATGAAGAAATTCACAGAAAAAGTGTCAAGGCAAACCTATAGCTGAACCTCGCCTGCGGTGGAGACGGTGGATCTGACGAGGAGGAGCTTGTGCATGAAATTATGGTGGCCTCCCGGTCGACCGAATCTTCTGAAAAAAAAAACATGTTTTTGCATGTGGTTGCATGGGCTACAGCTGTTCATCTGAGGAGTATAGCGTAGTATAGCTGAGCACCGCCGGCATGTGCACGCATGCCAACGTGACATCCTTTGACCCTGCAAGTGCCATGCCATGATGCCTCGTCACTTCCCTTGCGAGCTCGGAGGGGTGGCCTCGAACACAATCGAACACGATCGAACACGAGCTCACGTGATGTAATCTCGCGCTGTGCGTAGATAAGCCATAGCATGGCCAAGCATGGTCGCAATAGCTCGGGGGCTTGCCGTTGCTTCTTCTTTCCTTTTTTGCCGGCCGGCCCCTTTGCGTCATAGCTCTGCTCATTCCAATCCCTTTCCTGCCATGAAAGTATGGTTCAACCAGTGCTACTACCAGGTTCTGGCATTCCTAGACACTTGTCAAAGTCTGCCCTTGTGCCTCCCAGCCCCGCCAGTCATTCCAGGACTGGGACTTGCTCCAGCCGCGGCCACGCTGTGGCTCCCAGTCAGCCCAGCTTCCTGGACCTTCCCCTTCCTCCCAGCCCCAGCCCTCCCACTGCTGCCTCTCCTGCCTTGGCCTTGGCCACTGTCGCTGTGCTGTCACATCCCAAACAGCCGTGCTCCCAATCACTGCATCGCTTCCTCTCCACTTTCCCTCTTTCCCCTCTTTCCCCTTGCCCAGCTCAGCTGGCTGGCGAGCTTGGCGAAGTTGGTGAAGCGGCGGTGGGACTTGTGGAATGTGTGGAATGTGTGGGCTTTGCGGGTATGCTTCGTATGCTTCTTGAACTTGAGAGACTGGCCGGGTTGGTGCTCGGGGAGCCTGGCCAGCCTGCCGAGCTTGAGGTGCGGAGTGTGCCACTTGTGCCACTGAGTGTACTTGCTGTGCTTTGGTGGACTCCTGCGCTTTCTGAAGTAACTGCAGGATTGGACGGCTTTCTTGGGGGGTTGCATCTGGAGATGGCAGCTGCCATGACAGTCCAGGTTGAAAGACCGGCGCTTCTGCCGAAAGCATCTTTTTGCTTGGGTCTGGAGGTGGACCCGGCGGCTCTTGGAGCACCGCTGGTGGAGGAGATTTCGGCCTGGCAGCCGTCGCAGCCGTCGCAGCTTCAGTGGTCAAAATAAATTTAAAATAAAGCGTGAGCATAAACGGAACTGAGGAACTGAGTCTCGGACGGGCGCGGCCCTGCGTTTTCCGGCTGCCACTGGCGGGGCCACTGCTGCCCGAGCACAGCACGGGGCCGGATGCGAGAAGGCCAGTTTGGTCGTGGCGGTGCATTATCCAATGGATTTGGGCCCAAGCGACTCTTCCGTGCCTGCACCACACAAATACAAAATGCTTGCGAACAACTCTTCCGGACTCATCCTTTGGAAATTGACGGAAAGTGTTGGAACCCACAGCGAGTGCCCCAAGGCCTCCAGTGTCTCTGCAAGCCCGACAGCCTGCACCCTGGGAACAAGTGGTGCAGTAAGTGTCAGTACCCCTAGTGTAGCTTGGCAAGGAGCCGCGCCTGTTGGCGATGACCTGCATGATGGTCGCTTGCAGATCATGGCGGGTCCTGGAGTGCTCACATCTAAGAACCCCTCCGTGACCGGGGATCGTCACAGTCCAGCCTGCCCTCGGATTCCGCTGGTTGCACGGAGTTTGCGACGTTGGTAGCCGTCGTATGTTGCTGCATGGGCTCCTGTGGGCTTCCTTAAACAAGCTTCAAGTTGTGCTCCCAAGAAATTTGAAACAGTCCTGCACCCCCATCGAGAAATCCAAGGCATCCTCTGGTGGGAACTTGTTTGAGCTGCTTGAGTGAGAACATATCCAAATTTGCTACAACATATCACGGCGGCTTTCGAGGCCTCAAAGGCATCTGGCGTTCTGTCAATAGGCTCCGTACCTGAGGATCAGCTTTGCAGCATCATCAGAGTCTCAGACATGGGGCCACCCAAGCTGGATTGATGTGGAACACAAGTGAAAGTGCCAGCGAGGCTGTGGCAGCCAATGCTTTTTGCCATTAGCGGCAGAGAGAGGAGCCTGTAGCAGCAGCATTTGTAGCAGCGGTCTCACATTGTATCTGGGTTAAAGCGGCTAAAGCGGCTAAAGGATTGCGGGGAGCCCTTCGCCCCGCCTGCTGCCTTGGTGCCTGAGTTCCGTGTCTGTGGGCAATGTGGGCACCTCCAGCCGCTCCGAGGGCGGGGAATCTGCCTCTGGGTCCGCGATGGCTGATTCGACCGCAGCCAACAGAACTGCTCCATGAAGTTCCCTGTCCAAGTTGAACTCCTGATGGAATGGAGGCAAACTCGAAACAAGATCAACAAGCGCCACATTAGCTCACACGGCAAGTCCAAAGGCAACTCGAGCCTCCACGAGCTCGCTGACTTTCTTCGTGGTGCCTTCCGGCACTGTTGGAGACGTTGGAGGTTCTGGTTCCACCGTCATCTCTGGCTCGACTGTTTGCGCTGCTTTCGGAGCCTGAGGCAGCAATCACGTGGTATCTTGTTGCAAGCATGAAATGAACATTGGTTCTACAATGTCATACAATGTCGATGTGTTTTGTTGCTCCTCGTCGTCATCATCTACCATGTCCGCCCAACTCGAAGATGGCAGCCGCGTTCGCTGCACGGGTGCTTGTGGTGTCTGTTGCTTCGGTGGCTCGCTTGCGGGGGAGAGTGTACAATCGGCAGGAGAGCTTGGCTGCATCGTCTCGTCCGGCCTCGAATGCCAGCATTTGGCATACGAAATCATACGAAGCAGCGGAGTAGAGCCGTGACTGAGAGTGGCACGTGGCTGCATCGCCATCAGTATCTGGCTCCTCTTGCACGCTTCTTGCCTGTGGTCTTCCTGGAGCAGATCACTCCGCAGGTGGGCTTCCGCTGAGCCTTTGCTCCTGGGGCCGCGGCCCTTTTCGTTGACCGTCACTGTGAAACTTACAAGCGTGCCAACTGTCCACTTCCCAGCATAGTCCTGAGGCAGCTAAAGATCTGCAAATACACAAGCTAACGAAGCTGAGGGAGCCGAGACCAAGGCTCCATGGATGAGATGGATGTCCCTTGAAAATTCACTGAAAAGCTCTTCGCAAGCAATGAAACCGTACCTTGGCAAGCTTCCGTGGCTTCATGACGATCTGCTGTGATGTGGCGAAACGTGCCGAGTGATCCGAATGCCGGGCCGCAGGCGTGCCACCAACACTCTTTATTCTTCCAACGTAACGCCGCGTCTCGTCACTCGACCTTGGCGACGAAGAGCACTGCAGAGTGGTGCTGTGCCCATTTCACACTGCACAAAGCCAAGCTGAGCCTCTCACATCTCAGGGAATATCAACCCACATTGGGCTCTCAAATCTTTACTGTATCGAACCAAATGTAGCAGGGAGCGGTTCATCTCGCACAGAGCTTGCAGCAGCAACGTTGACAAGCAGCTCCTTAGACTTGCGTGCTCAGATTTGGGTTGGAAGACACCAGCTACAATCTCTGGCCATCCACCATTAAGGGTTCACAGCTGTCTCGAGCAACCGTATGAAGCCAATCAGGTTCATCACAATGTTTAGCAGGCCCATTTGCTGCGTTTCAGAAATTATGACAGACAGAGCAAAGAACAAAGAAGCCAACCCTCGGTAAACTCAGGCTCCAGAAACACCGGTATCCCGGTACCCCCTTTGCGCTTCCAGGTCGGCGGACAGCGCAAAGATCCCGTGAGCATCTGACAGGCCAAGGTTGCCGACACCGAGGACCCCCAAGAAACCCCCCAAAATGATTCCTCTGATCATTGATCTCTAAGTTCTCCCCGGCGAAAATTCGGCATACTGACCAAGAAGTTATTCGAGAGCTTCAAAATGCGCAGTCGGAGTGAATACTCAGTATTTTGTCAATGGATTCCTACCGCCTTGAGCTCGTCCATGCTGGAGCCTCTCACCAAGCATCTGACAAGCGAACAAGCTACGAAGGCTGCCAAAAGGTTGCTATGCCCTTCTATGCCCTTGCCGAAGGACCAGGACTTTGCTTCGGTGCATGGTATTGCATGGTGATGAAGCTGTTGAGTCGTGAGGTTGCATGGGAGAGAGAGGTTGATTTAGGAGGCTTCTTTGTGGGCCTTGGGGGCTCGAAGCTTCTGTGTTGTATTGTAGGGATTGGTGTTTTTCTGTCAAGGGATACGTCTCAAGGTCATTTAGGACGGGATCTTGATGCCGACATTGCCCTGCCGGATGCCGAGTAGCATCGCGCGATGCTCGAAACACGTTGCGCTGGCGCCGAAGGAAGATTGCTGCCACGCACAAGCTCTCAGCTCCTTCTGTGCACTCAGGTGTGCTCATCGCAGCACGCGACAGAGAGGGTCTATTCTTTGCGCTCAGACCTCTTTAGGAATCCCTAAGCCCTGTCCGAGGGTAGAAGTGCGAATGATGTGCCTCCAAACATTGACTCGTTTCAGATAATGAGTGTTCCAAACACACAGGTTTGCGCAACTCAAGTTGCTGCATGCAGCACAGGTGAGAGGTTATGAAGAGCATGGGGTGAGGATTCTTCAGGCATGTAGGCCTGTTGTTGCAACAGTGAGTAACTAAGTAAGGGCCGTATCGAATGAATTCGACATGACAGAATTGAACAGCATCACTTCTTTTAATCTCCATGTTTCGTGAAACGTTGAAGTCTGTACAAAAAATGCGCGAGGGCTGGTGCCCTCGCATACCATCAGTCACCTGGGCAGGAAGGCGCGATTGTACAAGAATGGAGCCACTCAGCAGTGAACCTCAATAAGCTACAGTGAGGACCAAACCGTCCATGTTCCAGCTCTCAGCTATCTGAAGCTATCATATGACCTCGGAAGGCGAGCGTGACAAAATGCAATGCTGGACACGCGTGTACAATAAGCACTGCGCAGCGCACGCGAACAGAGCAGCTGTAAACTTGCGCAGGGCAGATGTGTCCGCAGAACATGCGATGAGCAATTGATAAAATTTATACACAAAGCCTCAAATCAGTCTCATGTTGGTCGCAGTCGCTGACATTTGTATGGAGGGGCGGTGGGCTATATGCGACATTCGACTTTCTCATGATGTGCGGGCTTTGAGCTATGAAATGCGCAAGATCCGGTGAACAGCTCTGCTCTGGTCGCAAACGCTGATTAAGTTAGGCAGGGCTTCCCGGAAACTAAGCTTCGCCAAACTGAGCAGAGGTGTCCACATACTTGTGAGTGAGAATTCTGAGTACCCCACTGAGAGTATGGACGCATCTATCTGTCGGAGCTGCCACGATTGCGGCGAACTCGCCTCAGTCTGATTCGTTGAGAGAATCCGAAGGCTTGC